TCTAGTTTATGGTATTTTATTACAGCAGCCTTCCAGGTTCCCTATAGCAGCTCCCTCCCCATACTGGCAAAGCCTAGTAGGAAGCCAGCTGGCAAAGCAGAACTGAGGTCTGCAGGGTCCTGGCTACAGCATCACAAAGCAGAGGCTATAGCCTGTGTTTGTGGTTTTTTTTTTCAGTGTAGAGCGCAAAATAGGAACAAATCCAGGGGAATGTGCAAGGCGGTTACAGGGCTCCCCTCCCCCACGTGAGAGCCCTGTAACCAAGCCAGTGGGGCAGGAATGTTGACTTGACTGTGGCAAATTTAGGCTCAACACCCTCCAAAGAACAAGCTCCCAGGCAGGAGGGCTTCTTGCAACGCAAGGGGGAAAGGAGTGACACCCTAGAAGGGCCTGGGCTGTGACCCACCCTGGGCTCCTTGGCACCAGTGCACTGCCCACCTCAACCCTTCAAGAGGAAGGCTTCACAGCTTAGGGTATCTATTTCAGAGAACCAGGCTAAACCCAGCCCTCCCCAAACCCAGGTAGCTGCCTCATGCCTCAGTTTCCCTCCCCCTAGTGATTACCCAAGTTGGACCATCAGGCCCGGTGGTGGCCCAGCCTAACCCAAAGTGACAAGTCCCTATAACATACCATATATCAGTCAGTGTGTGGGCTGCAGGCCCTCCAAAGCTGCCGGGATCACCACAGGCCGGCCCTAGTCAAAAAGACCCTTGTAGGCCATGGGAATCAATCTGAGGTACTGGGGATTAAGGCTACCACCCCAAACTTGCTTTGTCTCCTGAAGGCAATTGACCTCCAAGACAAATGGCTCCTGCACCCCACTGTCATGCTGGGTCCAAAAGTGTGATGCAATAACCAAAGGGTCCTCCAGCTGAGAACCCCAGCCTAGCCTTAAGCCCACAGCGGCCTCGTGCTCAGGGAAGTCTAGTTTGTTCAACAGAAGGCCCAACCCTGCAGTGCTGGGCCACCTGGCACAGGCTGCCTATCCCTGGTCATGTCCTCCACACACTCTTGGAGGCCCCACCCCACCCCGTGAGACCTAGTCCCTTCCCTTCTGGCCAGGGTCTGAGTCAGTTACAAGGCAGCCAGGTGGGATAGGCACGAGCCAGGAGAGGCTGCACAGGGGTCACATAGTAATTGACAGTGGCTGGCACGAGCCCGTCGGTGCCGGGCGGGCGCCAGGCCAGGGCGGCAGTGGCAGCGGGGCCCTGCTCAGCCAGTGCCTGCAGCGCCAGTGCAGCAATGAGGCCCAGCGTCTGGCGGCGCTCATGGTTCATGAGGCACACGGTACTCTCGTTGACCACCCGGTGTAGTGTCACCAGACAGGAGTAGCGGCGGGCGGCATCAGCTCCACCGAAGTGGGCCTCCAGGTAGCGCTCCAGGGTGCGCCGCTGCTCCACCAGGTCCGGAAAGTCGAGGAAGAAGCGGGAGCACATGTAGCTTTGCAGGGCGCGCACGTCGGTGCTGGGCCGGGCCGAAAGCCCCGCACCAGGAGGTGGCAGTACTTGAGGAGACCACCACCTCGGATCTTCTCGGGACTGCGCGTGGCGATCACTACTGTCCCCCTCCCTCGATCTCGGGGGAGGCCGAGAACCGCAGGGACTGGCCGAGAAATCTCCTTTACAGACAATAGGTGAAGAACAAACCGCCCCCGCGCGTGCTCACTAGGAGCAGCGCGCGCCCCGGAATCGCCGGAGCCGCCTTCGCCTTAGGCCTCCGCTCCCCAAGAGACTGCCCAAACTAAGCTTCGGTGGCTGGATACGGGAGCGCTCTGGGGACAAATATCCTCCTCCCTCCATTGTGGTCTGCATTCCTCCGGCCCCTGAGCAACTCTTGGGCGGGAAGTATTAGCGTCTCTGTTGCGCTGCAGCGGGGGAGGAAGGTGGAGGCAGATCCCAGGGCGGACTTGGGGAGACCGAGAGAGACGCCGGCGCTGCCTGGATGTTGCGATGGCTGATGGGGGGGGGGGGCAGAGAACCGCAGGGACTGGCCGAGAAATCTCCTTTACAGACAATAGGTTGAAGAACAAACCTAGAGCCCCTACACTGAGTTACTAGTACTGAAAGCTCACCATGATATTGTACGGTTTCTGGTACAGTTAGATGGCTACAGATTTGTATCTGCTGGTGATGATGGAATTATATATCCAAAGGATTACAAATCGTTCTACTATAAGGACACGTGTACACGAATGTTCATTGCAGCACTGTTTACAATAGCAAGGACCTGGAACCAACCCAAATGCCCATCGACGATAGACTGGATAGGGAAAATGTGGCACATATACACCATGGAATATTATGCAGCCATCAAAAACGATGAGTTTGGGTCCTTTGTGGGGACATGGATGAACCTGGAAACCATCATTCTCAGCAAACTGACAGAGGAGCAGAAGATCAAACACCGCATGTTCTCACTCATAGGCGGGTGTTGAACGATGAGAGCACATGGACAAAGGGAGGGGAGCACTACACACTGGGGTCAGTTGGGGGGAAATAGGGGAGGGACGGTGGGGGGTGGGAAGCTGGGGGGGGATAGCAGGGGGAGAAATGCCAGATGTAGGTGATGGGGAGGAAGGCAGCAAATCACACTGCCATGTGTGTTCCTATGCAACAATTTTGCATGTTCTTCACATGTACCCCAAAACCTAAAATACAATAAAATAAATAAATGGGAAAAAAAAAAAAAAAAAAGGAATCATAGTTGTGTGGAATGCCCAGACAGGTGAAAAACTTCTAGAACTGAATGGACACACTCAAAAGATAACAGCTATTATTTCATTTCCTTCCTTGGAATCTTGTGAAGAAAAACAACTCATCTTGACAGCCTCTGCTGATAGAACAGTTATTGTGTGGGACAGTGATAACGGCAGACAAGTTCAGAGAATATCTTGCTTCCAGGCTACTGTAAAGTGTTTGACTGTTCTTCAGAGAGTAGATGTTTGGCTTTCTGGTGGGAATCACCTGTGTGTGTGTGTGGAACCGAAAATTAGATCTCCTGTGTAAGACTAGCCACCTTTCTGATACAGGTATTAGTGCTTTGGTTGAAATACCTAAGAACTACGTTGTGGCAGCAGTTGGCAAAGAACTGATAATTTTTCGGTTGGTAGCACCCACAGAAGGATCACTAGAATGGGATATTCTTGAAGTTGAGCGCCTCCTTGATCACCAGGACAATATTCTCTCATTGATTAATGTCAATGATTTGAGTTTTGTCACTGGCTCCCACATTGGAGAGCTGATCATCTGGGACGCCCTGGACTGGACCGTGCAGGCCTACGAACGCAACTTCTGGGACCCATCTCCACAACTGGACACCCAACAGGAAATAAAACTCTGTCAGAAATCAAATGACATTTCTATTCATCATTTCACATGTGATGAAGAGAATGTATTTGCTGCAGTTGGAAGGGGTTTATACGTGTATAACCTTCAAATGAAGCGTGTGATTGCCTGCCAGAAAACTGCACATGACTCCAATGTCCTGCACATTGCCAAACTTCCAAACAGGCAGTTGTTCTCATGCTCAGAAGATGGCAGTGTACGTATTTGGGAGTTACGAGAAAAACAGCAGCTTGCAGCTAAGCCTGTACCAACAGGTTTTTAAAACATGTGGGGATTTGGAAGAGTCAACAAACAAGCCAGCCAACCTGTTAATAGCAGCAAGAAAATGCTATTTCACGTTCACTGGAGCTTACTGGAGATTTGATTGGACACTCATCATCTGTGGAGGTGTTTCTATACTTTGAAGATCATGGACTGGTGACATGCTCTGCTGATCATCTCATTATTTTGTGGAAAAATGGAGAGTGAGAATCTGGATTGCGCAGTTTAAGATTATTTCAAAAATTAGAGGAGAATGGTGACTTACACCTTGCTCTCTAAGGAATTAAAAGTACACACGCATGAACCTTGTACATCAAATATAGGTACTACTCTGAAAACCATTAACATATTCATCATTTAAATTTGTAAATTTTGTCCATAAAATCCTACGTTTAACTTTTTTGTGGACCTACCAACCAGGAACATGTTGCTTCTCAGGTCCTAGTACATCCTCCAAAGAATATGCCACAAGTTTTCCATTTGACTTTGATCTGCTGTTGAAGTGGTGAGTGCTGTGTTTTGAGCTTATTTTGAACCTAGACCCTTGTGAAAGGTACAAATACAGGTAACAGTATAGTTGTGGCATTTATTAAAAGTTTTATTATTTGGGTTCAAAAAAAAAAAAAAAAACCTAATTGATACTCATTTGTATGTCTGGTTTCCCAAAGAAGAAAACCAAATTAATGGCCGGGCGCAGTGGCTCAAGCCTGTAATCCCAGCACTTTGGGAGGCCGAGG